AAACTGTTGACTTTCTCAAGGTAAGAAACTTCAATTATCAGAATACCAATTTACTTCTATGAGTTAAGTAATCAATGACGTTGATTGTTGGTTAAATACCTACAAAACAGTGATCGTTCAATCAGAACTTGGTACCTAACAAGGCACAGGGGACGTTAGCAAACGCTGGCCAGCACATTCCGCTGCGTTTTGTTTTGCTCAATAGTCGGTCTCTCCCGCCCCCTAAAAAACATTCACACACACCTGATAAGAAAAAACTAAGGGTGTATTGTATAAACACTTGGAGGCCTAAAGAACTTTGTACTATTCAACAGGACTAAATATTGATACCAATACAAACAATTGACATTTTGATAGATTACACTGGTTTTGATCCAATTAAAATGACTTTTTAAATGGTAATTTGTATAATGATAAGTCTCCTGCCTTGCTGTTAATTGCAGTCATAAGAAAGAAAATTGGAATCCAAATCTTCGAAATCACAACCTTCTAGAGTTAGGTCGCACGGTCAACTAGTTGGACGATTTTTGGCTTATAGTTTGTTAGAAATGTAACAATCTGGACCCAGAAACCAGGCAGGGATGCTGAGATGATCTGAAGAACGCTTCAATTGGTTTCCATAGAACGTAACATCTGGGTAATGCAACAACTCCAGGGTTCGTTTCTGTATACAAGGCGGAGGCCTCCATACAAACAGTCAGACACACACACACACACACACACACACACACCACATAAAGATCAAAGGATAGTTTTACATCGGTGAGTCAACTAACTTATGTTCACAATTCTTCTTCATCGGCTTCAATTGCTACGACGTTGCCTGAGCAGATGCGCCGTGCCGTTAGTTTCAATCACAATCTTCCTCCACTGGAACTGGCGCAGCAGACGAGTTGCTTCTCTTCCTTCCGTCATGAATCTTGTTCAGTAATCAAAGCACTGGGAATTAACTGAACGGGGACAATAAGCAGCTGTGTGTTTCTCCATAAAAGACCTGTATGACCCGAGAGCCAAATATTGAAGGAGCCTAAGTACGGCTGCGAGGCGGCACTGCGGGTACCACATGCGGTTGCTTTATTAGCCGCTGTCCTTATTAATCCCACTGTCTAATTTCCCACAGAAAGACCAGCAGAATGACAGTAAAACCTCGCCGCTCCCAAAGTTGGGAACGCACAAACTCAGCAGACAAAACAATCAGCAGACACTGCTCTACCCAATTAAGACTACTTCAGTTGCATCCCCTTGTACTGATTCCATTACCCGCTGCACACACACACACACACACACACACACACACACACACACACACACACACACACACACACACAGCTGAACAACAGGTGCGACCTTCTATTGTCACTTCGGCATCAAGCCGAGCTCATCTCTTCGAAGGCGCTCTGGCACTCGAGCCGCTACAACTGTCGTCACCTGAAGCCAACGAGCTTACGGAGCGCCGCAGGATGTTGTGCGCGGCCTTCGGGGGAGAAAAGGAATTTTGTTCGACTAACGTGAAAAGCAGCCGGCACGATACGATCGACGGCTTCCCTCCAGGCGACATTGACCTGTATAAAAACGACACATAATTGTAATTTCACTGTTCGAGATGTTTGCTGTGATACGGAGGCAACACAAAGTCGTTGAGGACCATCAAGTTTAAATGTGATGTAGGGTCCTAATAAATGTGGACCAAATGTGTTATTTTCTATGGAGAAGGAGGAGAATCACTCTATAACACATGAACTGCTACCATCTTCTAAGTTGACGTGACGAATAAACGACTCAAAAATGCTTAACCTTTCTATCCATCTATAAATCTAAACTTGTCTAGTTGTATGTGATAAATACATTTGTGATCATGTCTACACGCAAAAGACACTTCATTTTGAGATGATGAGTTTACTTAGATCACGTCGACCATACAATAGAACACACTCAACTATCTGACCTGTGGGCGCACTCTGCCATCAGGCTGACGCATTGTTCCCCACCTATTGTGCGCCCCCGCCCGGCCCCATTACGGCGGCCCTCCGCCGTGGCGAGCGGCCAGGAGCCGCAGGCAGCCGTGGAGTGCAGAGAGTGCCTCAGTATTCAGCGAGAGCAATCCGCTCTCTGTCATCCTCAACAAAATCTGCTTTCATTGCCTCGTACACTTATCCTTGACGGGAAGAGCAGTCGGGCTCACACTCAGACATTCAGGCAGACGCGCGCACACACACACACACACACACTCACTCACTCACACACACACACTCAGAGAGAAAGCATAGAAGTTTATCGTCCTCAGAAGTGGAAATTTGCCTTTAGCTTAGAAGGAGGATAAATAAAAGACAGGACAATTAACAGCATCTTCCACGAGCACAATTGCCCACACACTTTGTGAGTCCTTTGGAGCAAAAGTAACAAGTACACCAAGAATCTGTTCTCGTGCTCCATTAAAGCAGGAATCTGTCGACCCTGCACTCTCTCTCTCTCTCTCTCTCTCCACTGAACGCTGTTCACAACAAGGGACGCCTTTGAGAGCGGGACGAGCCGGCGCCGTTCCAAGTTCGGCCGTGGACTTGAGGGGGCGAGACTGCTCCTTTGTGCAGAGGCCGGTTAATAGTTAAGCTCAGCGGTCATTCAGCTCAGAACGAGTCTCTAAGTTTTGAGAGGTATAACTCGACTACAGGGCCACGGTGAATGAATGATTTATTTCATAAATAAATGTTAGCATGTTGGCGAGTTAGCTAGATGTTTAGCTTTATTGGCTGATCTTACGTGACGCAGTCAGCTTCAGGACACGCAGCTGCTCAATATTGGTCATCGTTCACGAAGGACCAACAATGGTCTCCTTCCTGTAGGGGACTCAGGACACAGCTGAGGGGTCATATGAGGAGTTACAAGAAAAAAAACCAAGAGAAACTTCACATGATACTTTTTTTTCTTCTTCAAATTTGCAAAAGAAATCCCACAAATTGAACGAGCTAGAAATGTAGAATATTTAGTTTTACGTATTTATTTGTGTTTAAAAATAACTATTGAGGATGCATTGCTTCATTTTAAAGAGGAATAATTCAATATATTATATATTAATATATCTCATGCATTTCAAAGTAAACTGCATGCTATGGCTTTATTGGGGTTTTGTTTCACGGTGACTTTGTTAAGTCTCTGCTAGTGCCAAGTTAAAAAATGACACAAGCTTTGTTCAGTGATTGCGCAGCCAACACTGGAAGAAAAAAATAAGACACTTCTCTTAAATGATAACAGAAAGGCTGAAGTGTGTACCAGACCAGACCGGCATGCATGCTGTTGTCAAAGAGTTCTCAGGAGGGGGGGGGGTCCGAAGCAGAACCTAGCAGGATGTGCACCTCAATCAATTCCACAGCCGTCTCTTGCTAATCAAACTATCTGCCAAAAAAGCCCTTATGGCAGCCACGCTCGCACATCAAACCTGACCGCTTGATTATGTTTTCGGCCACTTCGGGCCAAGCGCTGCTCTAATATTACCGTCTAATGTGGGCCACGCGCTGGCTTTCCAAGAAGCCCGCAGATATTCGGTTTCCGAGAGACCCGCTGGGCCAGCCTGAGGCGTTTTGTAGACACGGCGGCTTCCTCGAAACGCTGAGGCGGCGGCTTTCGTGATGACCAACGCGTCCCCTCCACGCCCCGCTCTTCACTGCGTGTCACCTCTCCGAAGAGGTCAACCTCGTGGAGGACACAGCCACCGTGGGAACACGCCATGGACAGCTTTGCATGTTTGCAGCATGACGGCCGCGTCGCTGAATCAACCGCACGGCTTCTCTTGACGCAGCAGATGGTAATTGAAATTGAAGCGGGGCAGATGTAATTAGGTTTTTCTTTTTCTTGCAGGTCATACATAATTGGATGATAGCAGCGGTACGGAAACCCGACTCCTGTCTGTGTATTACAGGAGGCGTATCGAGCCTCTTCCTCTCCCTCCACGAAAAAGCAAAGCGGAGAAGCGCACCATCTCGGCCCCCGGAGGAGGTTCGACCCCCCCGGCGTTGATCACACGGAGCAGCTATGGCAACGGAAGCTGAATTGACGTGGGGCTTTAATCAGGGCCACGAACCTCAAGGCTGGAGGGCCACTCCTATTCTATTCAACCAGCCACTCACTGCGAGAGTCGTGGGAATTGGACTCTTCTTAAAGGCCATCGACTAAAAGATACAACCTTAATTGGGTTATCCTTCCATGTTAAAGTGTGTACTAAACACACACACACACTCACAGAGAGATGGAGGCCATATGACGACACCCTGCGGAGAAATGACCAACATATATTGTTTTTAACTCAAGTCTGACTGTAACTTGGCCAGCGCATCGATGACAGCGCTACGGCGACACATGGATTTGGGTTTTCATCATAGAGATTTAGTGTGCGCACACGTACGCGTACAACCCATAAACCGACGAGACGTCGTGAATTCGCATCGCTTCAATGCGTGACACTGAACGCGTCTTAATTACGCGATTAACTCATCCGTCTTCAAATAGTCCCCGTTTCACAGCGCGCGCGTTAACGCGTTTCCCCGCCGCGCTGTGACGGACCTTCTTCCTTTCTTTTTAATCTTGTTTTTTCCTCTATTTTATCCGCGCGTGAGCTAATTCGAAGTGGGACACTTTGTGTGCGCGTCCACGGACGTGACTGTGCGTGATGGACATTGACGCCGCGAGGCGACGTGTCGCGGTCTGTCGGCGGGCCGAGTCGGGACTCGGTGACGGACACGTTTCCTTGTCACGCACGCAAAAAGCAGCCGCTTGTTTTAAATCTCGGCGCCGCGCGGTCCCTCGTAACGTGACGTTTCGGGTGGGGGGGGGAACAAAGGCAACAGTCTGCTTCTGTCGACGTTCACGTTCGCAGTAGAAACTTTGACAACTCGGCAACGTTTCACGCGCCAGCGGCAACTTTAAAGACCGGAGGGAAGAAACAGCGATGAACTCTCACTTCATGCAGCGCTGTGTGTGTGCGTTTTAAAGGGGTTCCGTCCACTTACCATCTTCCTTTTCGTCGTAAACTGGCCTCTTTGAAGAACTATTGGCTCCCATCCTCTTCTTCCACTTGCCCCAGTGAAACATCGATGCTCAGCTCGCATTCCTCGCCTCTTGAGGAGAAACTGCAGCTCTGTGTCGGACGCCCTCCCCGCAGGACAGCAGTGCTAACCGTACATTTCACCCCCACCTCCTCAAAGCCCCCCCCCCAAAAAAAAATCCCAAGCCCCCTGTCCGTTATGTCGTTTTTATGCACGTTTTCGGATATCTATTCTGCCGCAAACGTGAACGCCGCCACTTAATAACGGCTCGCTGAACCGGGCGAGTGCAAGTGTGGCAGCAAGTACCGACGCCCCGGAGAATATCTCCAAAGAGACACGGGCCGGTTCGTCACGGCTGGAGGCTGTTGTTGCCACTCGGTGCTGCCGGTGTTCGGTTCTCTTCCGCTGCCCGTCAGCCGAACCGAGTGCCTCCGTTCCGTCGGGTCGGGAGTGAGCGAGGCGTCAAGCTAGCCGTGGTTAGCCAAGAACACGCCGGAAGTCGAGCAGGTTGTCTGGAGAATAAAAGCATGTGTCAGACGTTGAGGCATCGGTGCAATGTGCTTGTTTTGGATCAATTTAATTGGTAAATGAATCGTATGGTGTGTAACAGTTCGTCCCACGTAATGGAGTGATTGTATTTACCAACAATACGTGTGAAGTCCAGTTTTCCTCAGTGGGCTCTGGCATATAGAGCCTGTAAGTAAAAGTCTTCGGTGGATCAGAAAATATAAGATACATACCTTGCAGAATTCCTCCCCTGAAATGTTATCTGATTTTTTTATTTCCTTTCTCAAAATAACCCACGGGACTTTTATTGTGAAGGTTAGGACGGTAGCCACTATTGTTCCGTCCAACTTGACACAACTTGAGAGTAGTGTGACAGTTGCTGGCCAGTGACTGTAGTCGACGTAGCCCCCCGTATCACAGACTGTCATGCATATCAACGCACGGGGACCGGCCTCTGTAGGTGAAGCCGGGATGGATCAGAACACACTGTTGGGGGGGGGGGGGGGGGCTTCCATCGCTCGTTACCAGCAGACAACTGGTGCTTTCCTCAAGCCAGAATGAACCTCGGTGGAAAATATTCCACAATCTCATTAGGAGATGGACGGGTGGCTCCGGAGCACTGAGGGGATAATAGGATTTTAACACGTGGGCTTCGATATGCACAGCAGGTTTATTTGTTCAGTTCATCCCAAGTTGTTAGAGTTGTGCTCAAGGGCTCATGAAGTCAGTGAGTCTGGTCAAAACAACTAGTGAAAATGCATATTACAATATATTAAACAACAATATATTAAATGGGCGATGATGAAAGTAAGAACAAGCGCTAGAAAAAAATAATTTATATTGTGTAAACTATATTTATGACATTTCAAAAGACCAATCTACCTTTAAAATATATATGAGATATCTGCTGTGGAGGTTTTGAACACTCATCAAAATAAATAAAAAGATGCATGCCACGTGCATTATTAAATGCTTAGCTTAATTCATTTTTAACATAATCTTACTTATCACAAATAAAAATTGACATTGCACCGACTGATTGTGTATAACACAACATCAAACCATTCTAAACTTAACAAAGAAGATTGCTCCACATAGCACAATATGCAGGCCCATTTGTACTTTGGAAGTCAGAAAACATCAATAACGGGCAAAGACCTGAGTGGCTACAGAACGACCTCTGGCCAACGTCCCTGAAGTATCCTAGGAGTGCTTCTACCTTACATGCTCCTTTTTAGAAAAGTAGGACGTGACTCCCAATGGGAGGAAGATAGAATCATGAAGGAAGGGAGACAATGCCGGCAATAGAGCGAAATAGGAGCGTTTGTGGTCAACTCAAAAGCAACGCGTCCATCTTCTCTTTTTCTGCTGCCGTCACTTCAGCAATGCTAAAGCACGACACAACGTCAAACCCTAGCGTCTTCAGGTGGGGCACACCTGTCATTCAGGTGGAAAAAAACAATTTATAGACCAACACATAAGATTTAGTGAGCGTTCCAATACCCGCGCTAGCATATTGGTTAGAATGCCAGTAATAAGACAAAAGAAGACAAAGTTCAAGTTGTCATGTTTTGAGGAAACATTATGTTCCAATTAAATGCACTCACAGTAAAAAGTACACAATTTTCCGGTTTACACCGTGGAGCAATCACGGCCTGCTCGAGGCGCGGAAAGGCTCCGCGAGTGATTGCGAGGCTTGGTCAGGCACCTCTTATTGTGTTCATGCTTCTTCACAGTGCATTTTGTCAGTGTGCGTTGAGAAAAAAAGAGAAAGAAACCAGCTCTCTCTAGATGGAAAAAGGCTTTTCTTACCACCCTTTGGACCCGATGACCCTCGGTCCGTTTCCCAATGTTCACCGTACTTATTGTGCAGCAGGGAAAAATGGGAGGAAGAAAGACAACATTCATGTTCTCGCTGTGGGAGCGAGCTGGACCCTTCTGACCTTATTAAGATCTGTTCCGTCATATTATTGACCTTGTGACCTCGGCTTTGACCTGAGTCATCTCAAAGACTCTTGTCCCCAATGACAACATCAGAAATATTTTAGAGAGAAGAACAAGACACCAACAAGACTTCCTCACTTTCTATTATCACTCTTATCACTCATGTTACTGCAGCATTTAACAACCCAACATTTGGTAACCAAAGACAACATGGAGGAAAGAACCTGTGGCTTCAGTCGTTGACAAAGCAAAGCAAACGCTTTGGTCCTCAATATCCACAGATCGCAAAATGTATTTCACCTATCAAGTGTTATTTGTCCTTAAAAGGCTGCCCTTTATATCCCAGAATGTGTTGTTCTGGAGGGATCTTATCACATAGTTCAATGCATCCATTATGTTCAAATGTATTTGAACTATTTGAAGCTAAATTTCTTCTCAAGCCACCAGACGCAGCGTCTTAACTCTTAAATCTAGCATTTCAGAGGAAGAGCGGATAAATAGGGACTGAGGCCGTTGATAACCACAGTTTGTAAATGGATTAAATATAATTTTTATCATTGCTTCATTGTCAAAGAGGTGAAGTAAGGATTGATTGGAGCCAAATCCCTTTGCTGTTTAAAGGAGTCTTGTCTGGATTTATGCATTTCAACCCTGTGTGGAAGAAGACTGGAGAGTGGAGATGGGGATGCAGAGGAGGCGCCCCCTGCTGAGGGGACTGGGCCTGTAAACCATCCAACTGAGTAGGAGGAGGAGGAGGAGACAAAAGAAAGCAGAAGATGGAGCCGTATCTCTAGCCTGTGCGTCTGCCACCCAATACCAATTAGCTTGGCGTCTAAGTGGGTTATAAAACCCTCCAACAGCAAGTTTATGGCCCAATCGTACATCTACTTTGAAGCGCGTTCCCACAAAGCCTCCGAGGGCTTCGTCCAACTACATAGTTCTTGAGTCCTTCACGCACACCTAGCTCTGCATTTCTGCAAACTTTGTCTAAGGCAATTACCCATAATTCATAGCTCACCTGTTCAATTTACCCCCAAAACCATTATAGGACCTTTCCATTTTGGTGGCCCCTACGGACAAAAGTGGGTGTGTTTGTTCCTGTTTTTTCATTAACCATTTCTTCTTATTTTCTTATTGAAGCTGTTTTGACAAAAAAAATAGGTACATTAATTTATTTCACAATTAACACTGCGCATTTTATTTATTTGTTCATTATTTTTATTTGTACCATCTCAAGGCCATTGCACATTAGACTTCATTGGTCTTCATTGATGCTGATTAGACTTGCCCTGACCATGTGCAATGGCGCTTAGTTCCTCATGGATCATGCTGTCCATGGGCCTACGAATACATACATTAAATGGTAAACTGCCCAACCTAAGATAGATATTTAAATTCAAATGTTATTCGAAATAATAACAAATGAAAGGTGGCATTGTATTTTGTAATATTGTTTTTTACTTTTACCAGCAATTACAACCTCACAATATATATTATTTTTATATATAAATAAAAGAATTGGGCCACTATATGAGATCGTTTTTTATCATTTCTTAATTTCATCATTGGCATATTAGAAGCACATTCTCTACTGTGTCAATATTAACCGTATGATTCAAATCCAGGTATTGACCTCGCAGTCATTCAGAAGAGCGCATGCGCCGGGGCAAAGGGCCGAGAGATGGGCGGCAGAGTAGAGGAAGCACTAGTGCGCATGCTCGATGGGGCCTTGTCACGCGGAAGAGATCCGGGTATCATCTGCATCCTCTGCTCTTTGTCCTCAGAAGTTTAACTTTTTTTTGGTAAAAGTCGACAATGAGAAGCGTTTGCAGGAACGAACGAGGCCCCGCCCCCCGACGCCGCGGCCACCCGCCTTCACCAAAGGCCACGTGGGGTGTTTGTTTGAGTTTGTGTTGACATTGTTGCCATGGTAACGACGCCAAACTCTACAGGCGGCGTCGCTAGTTTGGCGTTACATTTTCCAACAGTATTTAACTATTTTAGGAGCGTGTTAAGAAGACACCAGCTCCCCTCCGCTGCGAGTTACTCATTTAAATCCCAGGTAAGTCGCTGGTTCAACTAACTAATGCTAACGCGAGGCAGCGGCAACAATGCTTATTTGGATAAAAACCACGTGGTGTTTAAACGGGTTCTCATCTACGCACACAGGGTGCAAAGAATCCAAAAAAAGCCACCTGAACAATGGACGCTAGACACCCGAGCATCACCTCTACGGCGTCCTCCCCAGAGGAGGCTCCTAACCTGCAGCTAGGCTTTGTCTTTGGGAACAGTCCTGTCAAACCACAGACCGCCCGCATCCGACCACAGGATGCTGAGCGACCACAGGATGCTGAGCGACCACAGGATGCTGAGCAGCGGGGGCTCCCCGACTGTTACCCAACAGAGACATTGTGTCTGAGCAGAACTCAGCTGAAGCACGTTGCAGAGAGTATTTTGAAAAACAGCCGGCTAAAGGTCAGTTTGGACACCGCTGTGCCTTTTGTTTCGCCTGATGTTAGATAGCCATGCTGCGCTGGTTTGCAGGAATCCAGTGGCCAACAATTTCCTGTCTGTATAATCTATTGATTATAACCGATTGTTGTATCATCTTCAGTATTTATATCTTGAAGGGAACCAGCTGTCCAGTGTGCCAGATTCAATGTTCATCAGCTTGCCAAACCTTCTCTGGCTGGACCTCAGGAATAACCAAATTACATCCCTCCCTGCCGAAATTGGCTCGCATAGGTAGGTTACTTATGCTGACTGATACCACGCTCTGGAACCTTGGATATGATTTGAGTTATTGTTAGTAGCAGATTCAGTAGCCAAAACGTATAACAGTGTAGTGCATCAAATACTCTCTGGCCATTTTGTATAGCTATGGACTTAAACAATTCTCTAACTATCTGTAATTCCGCTCACCTAGATCTCTGAAAACGCTCCTTCTGGAAGGAAACCCCATCTCTGAACTTCCACCAGAGTTGGGTGAGTTGACGTCAGTAACCTGAACTTTCTGGGTTTCATCACTTTCTATAGGCCGAGCTGGCAACTAGTTTAGAGCTGGATTACATGCAATGCAGATTATTCATAGAAACAATATATTTATATGTTTAGCTTCTCTGCTGTTGATATCAAAACTGTTGCTAAAACACTGCCACTTTCCAGTACATTAAAGATACTGTTAGGAACTTTGAACTGGTTATAAAAAGGTGCTACTTTGATACTGATGCCTACGTATGACACGTACAAGCAGACCAGACCATCAGCTAGAAGATCCACTTTCTCTTCGTGTTTCACTCTTGATGCTTTTTTTGACGGTGCCACCCGGTTGGATTTTGAGTGAATCAGATGAAATCATGAAGGTCCATCAAAAGCTCCTTCAGTTCCTGCAGCCTAGTCCATATATATTCTGACCGTGCTGCAGTAAAATCTGATGTTTTTTTCAAAACAATCTGGTGCTCGGAAACCCCAGCGCCAAATCAACCCAAAACGGTCTTTGTAGTTACTTTAAACCTGGCAATCCAAGAATGTACAGATTCCACAACCAATTCCCACAAATGAATCTGGATAAGAGTGTCAACTAAATGCTAAAGGTGTAACCTTTAATCACCAATCTAATGCATAATTACTTTTCCTTCCCAGGAAATGTGATCACCCTCAAGGGCCTGAACCTGAGGAAATGCCCCATCTGTTTCCCTCCCCAACACATAGTGAACGAGGGGCTACGGAGTATCCTCCAGCACCTGAGGAGCGCCATGGCCATGCGGCCAGTCAGCGGCAGGAAGAGCCCCCCAGGTGACTCAAAGGCACCTTAACTTTCAACAGCGCAGCAGCAAGGTGGAAGCATTCCAGCCATCTGCTCTTATTTCATCAAAGACAGAGCGGCCGGCCACCAAAATAGCCACTTGCCCTGGTACCACTTCACTGGCGTGGCTTCTGTTACCTTGGAGACGGCGCGTAACCCTCTGCTGACTCTTTTAGTTGTTTTTATTCTCCCCACCCCCCACCCTCATGCTCTTGTAATATTCTTAGCCGGATGAAAATGATCGATGACCTGTGGGCTCGAAACCGGAGCTCTCAGCCAGCGGGCGCTGCCTGGAGGTGATCTCTGCTGCGGCTTCGCTACGTGCGGAGCCAGACCGCTCAATCGAAAGCATCTGTGTCTCTGCCTACGAGGTTATGAGTGAAGACGGGGGGGCGCCACGGGCCAATCCGCGTTAGGAGTATAAGTTTAGCTTTTAATAAAAAACAATTATGCAGCTGCGAAAACTCCAACTATCCCAACCGTAAAAGTTACGTTCAGCCTCTTATTTTTAAAATTCTGTAAAAAACTATCTTTCTGCATTTTGCGCTCCGCAGCAAGAATGGAATATTTCACCTGCTGACTCATTGGTGAAATGCTGGCATATCTACCGTAGCAGTCAAACGTGTTTGACACATTTTCTCATTCAATGATAAAGTGTGTACAAAACCTTGACTGGTAGTGTGTCTGTAGACGTATCTGTGTGTAATTCTTGCCCACTACCAGCTCTGCCAGCACCGATGGCGGCCAGCGTTGGCTGCACGAGCGTCAGACATTGTTGTTTGCATCAGCAGAGCTGCCCTTGGTGGAGAAGCTCCAGCTGTCAGATCTGATGGGGTCCAGCGTGGACGAGCAGGAGGACGAGGACGAGCTGCGGAGGTTCAGGGAACTCAGACAACAGATGATCCTGCTGGAGAAGGCCGAGCCGGTTTCAGCAGATGGAGACCGGAAGTCACGTCCTCTTCCCGCCATCAAAAAGTAGGTGTTTTTTTATTTCATATAAAAACAGAAGTGTAAAAAAAGCAATTCTCTGCTAAAGCAACCACTTGTCGTTTACAGTCTTTCCAGGCAGCGGATATCTGGAGGCCATAATTTGTGTTTCATCAGTACAGATACACTGCAGAACGAAAATTGAGAGTGTTAGTCTTCCATCTGATAGCAGGACAGAGGAGATGGATTTGTTTGTTTTCAGTAAATGAACTTTTTCGATGAGAGCAAAACACTTTTTAATGCCATTCCCTGCAGAGAGGGCAGACTCATCAAATAATCTTCCCGGCCGTCTCCGCCGGGGCCTTGGAGCACAGAAGCGTAATAAAAGGAAAGCATTTTTGGTTCAATTTATCCATCAGAAAAAAGGCACATACCAGGACCGGCGGGGTTCCCCACCTCCCCCTGAGCGGCACTCTGCATTGGGGGAGGCCAGAGGAAAGGAGACAGGCTGCATTGAAGGAGATGGCGGAGAAGCAGGCAATTCTCGAGCAGAGGAGAAAGTAAGCTGAGTTCTATTTTAAGAATCCTGAGTTCAATGTGATGAAACATTCCCTCGCTCTTGTCCCACAGCACCACATTTTGACCATTTAATTGCATTTAATGAACTGCAAACAATATTCAGGCCTGGAAAAAAACGAAGATCAGCACTTTGTCCAGTAGGGAATCCGGACTAAAGGTGTTTTCTTAGTCAGAGAAGGAACTTTCCTCATGGGATCACACCTGCTGGGAGGAAACAGCATATTTTCAACTCTTCTAAAAAAGTCTGTTTTCCCCTAAAAAATGAGTTGGGGATTGTAGGAACATTGGAAAGAGCGATACGGTTGTGATGAGTTTTATTTTTTAGTAGTTTGAAAAAGAACGTAGAATAAGGAAGGTGCCTGGCCTGACCTCTGTAGGATTTGGAACTATGTGTCCCACCAAGGAAGCATCCTTGTCTTTGGAGAACCACCCTATGGTCACAATGGCAAGAAAGAATAATCAATAATCAACCATTTGGAAATACTAGGAACAATTTTCCTCTGCATGGTTCTATTACACTGCATTGTTAATCCGGCTTTCCCTGTAGGAGCCAAGAAGCTATTCGGAAGTGGCGTCACCAGGCAAAGATCAACCAGGAGAAGAAAAGTCTCCAGCAGAAGAAACATGCAGAACGCAGAAAGCGAGAGGTATTTCATAGAGCTTAACGCCTACATTTCCTCGTACTACCTTTTCTTGCCACAAGGGGACAGCAGAGCACCCTGTCCGTCACACCGAGCGGACCACTGTAACGATGATCATAGAAAATGACCCTTAGATGCTGGTAAATGAGCTTTTCAGGTAGCAGCGCTGGCGTAGTCGGTGTCAGTGATCCCTGAGGGTGGTGCCGTCTGACGCAGCAAACAGACGGCTGTGTTTGTGACGGAGAACGCCACATCGGTGCTCTCGGGGCAGCAGCCGCAGCACAGAGCTGTCAAAGCTGACATGACGTGCGGACGATGCAGATGGATGGTTTCAAGTAATTTGACTGTCACGTTCGGGCTGGAAGTATAGTGTGAAATTCAAACAGCGACGAGCTAGGACGGTGTGAATATTCGCCGGATAGAATGTAGCATGTAGCATGGACACCAAACACATTTTGGGAAGTTTGACACAACAAGACTGTTCTGCACCTACAGCTGCTCTGTAGAACAAAGAACATGGGGATAAACAACGCCTCTCCCTCCGTTACAGGTAGCAGAAACAGATTCAAAACCTGGTACGGTTCAGGCGTCCGCCGTGTCCACCCCACAGAGTGAAGAGACCAGGTAAATGGCATGAGACACGGGACACTACACAGAAGTGGCACACACAGACCTGAACTTGGGTTGGGTTGTGTTTAAAACTGGAAATTGATACGGCACAATGTTTTCTACCCACGTCAGACTACTGAGCCTATTTTATCATTGAGAAATTTGGTTTGTAGAGAAGCGATACGCAGCATCCTGAGCCATGGGTCTACCAGGACAACGGGCCATGAGGAATCCACCACATGGCATTCAGAATTGGCCCCCATAGTGAGCTTTGCAGATGAAGGTGGAAAGCTAGAGACACCTGGTGGACAGAGAGAAACTATACACACCATGAAACATCAGCAGTTTCTTTTGTTCTCCTTCAACAACATTATGCCCCCAAAAAACGACAAACGAGATTAGATCGTACGCCTTCGACCACCCTGTTGCATTGATGGGATTAATCATGAACTGGAGGAAAACAGTCACCTCAGAGGCCTGCGTTTTTATTCAGCTACCAGACCTAAAGGCTATGACACCACCAGCGACATTAAATATTCCCTATTTTGATGTGAGATTTTGACCTTATGACCTGGTTCCTTCCAGATCACCCCGCGAGCTGGAGGGACGGATCGGCGCCAGCGTAGAAAAGATGCAGGAGAGACGCAGGAATCCCACGGGCACCACCGCAGACCAGATGGCAGCAGCAGAGGGAGACTTTGAGGAAGTCAGACCCATCGCTTCTTTATTCACTCGACTCATCTATGTTGAACTGATAGGTTATTGATCTCAGTTTGTTTTGTGTTTTCCTCCCCCGCTTCAAATGACAGATGAGGAAGCTGCAGGCTCGGCTCTTGGAGAGGAAGAGGAATCAGGGGGGTGATCTTGGAAAGTGTTTCGCCATCTTCAATGGAGACACGTGGCCTAGTTTCATTGACGAGTATCAGGGATTGTAGTGTTCTGTTTGAGTTTTGAGGTATTGGATTAATGCTCAATGTTTGATGTCAAGACTAAGAACTTCATCAAGGATCATTGTAATGCTCATATCATAGAAAAATAAAGAGCAAAAGCTTTTACTGCACGCGTGTTATGAAATGTAATGCAAAAACACCCTTTCTATTGTACAACGTGGTCACGTTTACCATTTGTATGAGCTCATAATTATCTACCTCAAATACGTACATAGTAGGTATGGTACTGTCACTTTACGTTTTGAAATGAGGCTATTCAGTAAGGAAACAACTCAAAAGACATATCATATTCCCTTTGTCAACGATCATGGCTTGAAATACCACGGTGTGTCTTAAATAAGTAGGTAAACCATTTATTTCAACATGTGAACCCACCCACTCCTTAATGCCGTCGTTAAAAGTAATTGCTGCATACTGTGCAATAATGTCATATTTATTCCAACATCTGTTCAATTCCACGACGCTCACAACGTGTCACGAAATGCATCCACACTTTGATCAAATGTCGCGTACGTTGGCGGTTTAACTTTGGAGCCAAACGCCATCAGCCCGCCGCTATGGAACACGGAGGCATCCGCACACTTGTGAATGGCATTAAACAAGTCAAAGTGAGCCGGGGAGAGGGGAGGCCTCGTCTTGGGAGATTTCTGCTCTAGCACAGGCAGCGTGATGTCAGCGGTGGCAGTGCTGTTGTAATTGACTTGGTGGGGGTGATGGCGTCATTTTATGCCCTGCTGTAGCCTCCTGCTCCGGTATCGAAGGGGAGACGGATCTTTAGCCGACGCGACCGTGGCTCCCTTGGCCGGGATCGAGCACCGCCGAGCCGGACACTTGACGCCGGGAAACATGGAGGCTGCGGCCGAGGAGCTGCGGGCCGGCTCTCGGGTACCTGTCACTATCGATCAAATAGTTAACGATACACTGGTGGTGACGCTGACCTACCGAGAAAGGAGCTATACGGGAATATTGCTTGATTGCAACAAAAAGTGAGTGTTATTTCCAGTGTTCTCCGTCTTCGTTTATCTCATTTATGAATTTGCTAAACTCAGGTAACGGCTAACGTACCTTTGATGCTAACAAGTCGATGCTAGCTTTTAGCTGTTAGCCGACCGGGCCTCCATAGCAAAGACCCGTAGGTTCTCGTAGCTAAGAGGCCAGCTATATGCTAGCTAGCCGGCTAATGGCAAACTGACTTCATTTTAGCTCATATTGAGATTCTAAAATGCGTTATTTTTACTACGGCGGGTAACCGAATGCCGAGTAAGTGCCCCTGTCTATTTAGTTTGTTGATAACGTCTCTTGAACATGAACTAATGTTCCTGGGTTCACAGATAGCTTATTGTTAGCCTTTACCAAGTACTGAGCAGCTCAACGGTCTTCAATGTGAGGCCGTGGCTGAGCACTACTTTCTAAATTAGGTGTTTATGCGTTTATACACACAGCTGACATTGCAATGTGTACTCATTTTCTCGAGTGATGCTTCAATCTCAAATACAGTGGCTGATGTGACAAATGGCTCTTCACACAGCCAGTCACTTCTGATCTGCAGAAACAATGGAAAAGGGCAATAAAGATGCATGTGGGATTTGATCGAGCTCAACTGTAATGGCTTTTCTGACACCGATGAGATTCAGGTACCATGTTAAACTCTGTGCTTGACAAGGTGAGGCCCAAATCTAGCCAGTCAACAAGGACACACAATGCTGTTTAAATGGGAGAACATTAAGATTAAACAATTTACATTAATCAGTGGCTTATCTGCCTCTGGTGTGTTTGTGTGTCACATGCATAAGCCTCTGCTCCCGGTGCTGGGTGCTGCACACCTTTCTTTTAGAGAGCCACTGGCTTTGGACTATTTATAGACCCGCAAAATCAGAATCTGACCAGCTTTGCCTCTCAGTATGCCTAGATGGTTTTTCATGTGAAAGCTCAAGCAGCCCTTGAAATAACCCAAGTGGGAAAGACAGGCCTTGGAATAACTTAAAATAGGCTTATATTTCAGGCCTCCACTGACAGAGTTTGACTTGTCCTTCCTTTTCAGCTCATGGCAACACGTTTCCTGTCATTGTCTCCTACAGGTTTTTTGTTATTGTCTACATCTGGGGGTCGATCAGTCCGGCAGATCTCTGCGTTTAGTGACACTGTACACAACGTGCGACGGCGTGGTAGATCATGGCCGGTCACGCCGCGTCCTTGTGCTGTGCTTAACGAGCACGGCCTGTTCCCCGCCACCGACTGCCCTGCTCGAGCGGCGTCAATCACTGCGAAGGCCGGTATCTGGCTGCTATGGGAGCGTGTGTATTATTAAAAAAAAAAAAAAAAAAAAAAAAAGGTGAGAGGAACAAGCCGCGTCGAGAGACTCTAATTCGGAGGTGCCTGCCAGTTTCTGCTCCTGGGGAGAGACACTTGCTCCCCAAACGAGCTCTAATTAATAATCTCGCCCCCGAATAGACACGGATGCAAAAACAAACTTAAAATCTCCTGGCTCCTTCCCCTGCATCTCTGAATCCCGCGTGATTCACGGGACTGCTTTTGATCAGTCCGATGCAGGGGAGAGGGGGCTGTTCCTGTCGTCTCCTTTGTGTGCCGTCTCCTGACTAAAGCAGCACAGCCATGTTACTGCTGCCTGCCAGCCACCTCTCAAAGACCACTTGGCAGATGAGCCTTCTTTGGACATGTTTGCTGGGCCCTGGGAGTGAGTGGGTGGGGGAGGTGGGGGGGGGGCATAACATCACTCAGGGAGTCAGTGATACAATTGCTACATTTTTGCTGCCTGAGACAGCAGGACGGATAATCGTCTGGCTGCTCGTGGACCCCCAACCCCCCACACGTGAAGAATGTTCAGCATACAGGTGCCGGGGAGAGTGGTGTCAGTGTGTCCAGCTGAAGCAAATCAAAATAGTCCGTTTTCACTTGTAGGGAAGGCTTGGAACAGATCTGGGTGCTCTTTTTATTTTGATTTGACTTGTTTTTCCCCCTTTATTGAAACGGCAAGGGAGTTTATTTGCGCTGTCCCACTGGCCTTCGATTATCGGACACAGTAAAATGCACACTCGGCAGGCCGTTATCTCTCCTGTGGAGGAGATTGCTTAACTCCACTATTAAAGAAATGTTTTTCCTCTGTAACGACACTTGTTTGTTCGCATTGGCTTGCAGCAACTTCACTGAAGCAATCCAATGAAGCTCAATGAGAGCCGCAGTTGTTCATTTGTCTCTTTCTTTTGTAGGACTGGGCTGTTCTGTCTACCAGAATTCGCAGCCAAACGCGGGGACTGCACGATATCTACACCGGTGTGTCAAGAAGTCCCTGAAGTTCTGAGCGAGGAGCCGGTTTCCAAATCTCCTTGCCAGTCTTCGCACAGACCAAAGGATGAAAACACCATCCCAGAAAGCCCTCTTCCCTGCCCTATACCCACACCAGTGCCAGCTGGGGAGACTCCTTACCCTCCTTATTTTGAAGGAGCCCCCTTCCCTCCCCCCCTATGGGTGCGCCGCAGCTACAGCCAATGGGTACCTCAGCCCCCTCCGCGACCAATCAAGAGGAAGAAGAGGCGGGCGCGAGAGCCGGGGCGCATGACCATCAGCACCATCCGCCTGCGGCCGCGGCAGGTGCTGTGCGAAAAGTGCAAGAACACACTGAACAGTGACGAGGACAGCAAAGACGGCATGAGCAACTCCTCTAAGACCTCTAGAAAAGAGAATTCACTACAGAGCGACGAAGATGGCGAGGACAAGGACGTCCCCTCCAAGCTGTCGAGGAAAGAGGACGTAGTCGCCGCCAAAGACGCAAAGAGACGCGAAAATGGCAACAGCCTCGACAGCAAGCGGCTCAGGAAAGACAAACGGGTGGAACCCGAAGGGGAGAAGTTCCCCGGAGGTGTGGTCATCCCCCACAGTCCTGTCATAAAGATCTCTTACAGCACGCCACAGGGGAAGGGCGAGGTCATGAAGATCCCCGCCAGAGTCCACGGGTCAGTCAAACCGTTCTGTCCCAAGCAGCTGGCGCAGAACGGCGTGGGAGAGAATGGCAACGCGCCTTCTGATCCCACCAAGGAGCAGCGGCACATTTTAGATGCCACCAGGTCCGGCCTCACCGTGTCCATTCCCAAACTCAAACTAACCAGGCCTTTTACCACCGTGGGTCAGGACTTGCCCTCTCCAAAGATCCGCCTGAGACCCCCTCAGCGGGAGGCCGAGGTGAGCTTGGTGGAGTACGAGGCGGAGCTCGTGGGAGGCACCAGGAGACAAAGCCCCAAGGTGCCCGGCCCGTGCCTGCCGCATTCTGAGGACTCGGGGGAAGGTAAAAACTCCCTGGAGCTGTGGTCAGGGAGTTCGGGGGAGGAGGTGGAGCGCGTCCACAGCGACCTCACCCTCCTCATCAACTTCCGTAAGCGCAAGGCGGACTCGTCCAGCCTGTCGGTCTGCAGCAGCGACAGCCTGGACGAGTCCAAGTCCTTCAGCTCCGACGGCACCTCGCCGGAGCTGTGCGACCTGGCGCCAGGAGAAGACCTGTCCGTGACCTCGTCTTCTGTGCCGGCGCGGGAGGACTGCAAGACGGTGCCGCCGCTCACGGTGCGCCTCCACACCCGCAGCATGACCAAGTGCGTGACGGAGGAGGGCCACGCCGTGGCGGTGGGCGACATCGTGTGGGGCAAGATCCACGGCTTCCCCTGGTGGCCGGCGCGCGTCCTCAGCATCAGCGGCACCCGCAAGCAGGAGACGGCCAGCTGCGAGGCCCAGTGGCCCCAGGCCAAGGTGGCGTGGTTCGGCTCCCCCACCACCTCCCAGCTGTCCGTCGCCAAACTGTCGCCCTTCAGGGAGCTGTTTAGGTCCCGCTTCAACCGCAAGAAGAAAGGGATGTACCGGAGAGCCATCTTGGAGGCGGCCAAGGCCGTGGGCCACATGGGCCCGGAGATTACGTCGCTGCTGTCCCACGGGGACACGTAGGTCAGTTCACGGCGGATGTTACAAGTCACACGGGGTTCCCTGACAAATGTCTGTTAATGTATAGATAAATGTGTCCCTGCGTAGACTGGGCCGGGGGTTATAAATAGGGAGGCGACCACCAGCAACGCGTTTGATCTCACACCTGCATAATCTAAGGAATGTGGGTATGAATGTGTATCGCTCGCTCAACCACATGCGTGTCTACCACGTGAGCATTGACTTATTTTATATATTTTAATGTTCATTTTAGTCTTATTTTAAGGTAGGTGTCACTTGTATCTTTTTTTCAATTAATGGCAAACCGGATAAACTTAGAATTATGGAACTTCAGCTGTACCGTAACCCCCAAAAAGGACAAACTGCTAATTATTCTCAGGCTTTGCAGTCATCCAGTCTGAACTTTTTTTCAAATCCCCCTTTTGTGAGCCTTTTCTTTTTTTGATTTATGGTTTACATTTTTAAAGTAACTGAAGTTTCAGGACTTGATTGAAGTTAGTTGAAATGTAAATCCTAAGTTTTAATGGCAGTCTAAGTAATTCTTCATTCATTTCCTTTACAAACAAGTAAATGCATTGCAGCAGAAGATATGACATTTATATTAAATTACCGGACACGTTAAAATAACTATAAGCTACTTGTTCCAAACATGAAGCTACGGAGTCCAAACTAAGATCTTGATTGGAAATCCAATAATATAATATCAAACATTAATAAGATTTGAATGGAAGTAGAAGACATGTTATTTTGTCAGAACTACAAAGGAGTTCCATTCACCAGCCTGCAGAGAGGCCTCCTAACAGACCCGCTTCATTTTGTTCTATTATCTAGTTACTGACTCTATTTACATTAATAAGCAACAGCTTATATGACCAGCTGCCATTATTGTAAAAAAAATGTAAATGCCAGCTTAATACTAATGTCACTTCTGAGGTTCACAAATTTACATTTTGCCAGCTCGTGTGTCAGAAATCCAGAGTTGCGTACTCTGGAAATGTTCACACCCTAGACCCCCGGCATGCCAATGGTATTCCAGACCCTCGCGGATCCTGCAGGTTGAATGAGACACCGTGGCGGCGTTGAGCTCGTCTATTTAAGATGCACCTCGCTTTGGTACGAACAGAGTCACTGCTCAGTGCACAGAATTAGCAGGTTTCATTCAATTGCCTTTTGAATCGTGAATACATTTCAGACGGTACTCGGCGCTTTGCCTTTTCATTTGTCTTTTGATAATGGCTAATATGGTGATGTTCAGGGTAAACCTTTTTTTTAGGTGGGGGGGGGCAGAGTGAACTTGATTCTGCACCAACCTGTTTATTCAACAAACTTTCAGTTCAGCCCATTAAAGGACAGCAGCTACATGTCTGTCATGACAGAGTTACTGTGTGCAAAGCAGCAAAGCATACCATGCGTTACTGGTAAAACACGGTGACCTCTTTCCGCGGGCCGAGCGCCGGGGTGTGCACAATAATTCTGTGAATGCGTTTTGTTGTTCTGGGCTTTTCTTGTGCGTACTGAAGAAGAAGCCTCTCACTCTCCCGACAAGCGTTACTTGAGAAAGTAAACGTTAACCTACGTGACCGTATCAGCCGACCCCTGCCCCCCCCCCGGGGCCACCGGGTGCAGATATATTGGAGTAATGTGTCCCTGAGCGCAGGGCGTTGCTGGCAATCTAAATGACCCTAATCTCATATCCAGCACCTTCTTTAAACTTTAGCATGAAAGCGCGGTGGAATTGAGAAGCTAACATGAGTGCAATGGGTTACATGTCCAGAGCGAAGAGACGCCCGGTTTGCGCTGTGATTGTGATGCTTTAATAAGGGAATAGCTCGTAAATAGATGGCCCCTCTTTTAGCACAATTTTTAGGCAATTTCGGTCATGTATCAGCAGCGCGCCGTCAAACTGGTTTCAGTGAGCTCGTCCCTCCGGCTTCCTTGTGAGTTTCAGCAGGTCCTCGGCACACAATCGAAAGGTTAAATATTCTCTTTTGAGCGACGTGAGAGACGGACAGGCTGCTCCCAACTCCTCTTGTTTACTCTGTTATGAGTAAAGAGTAGCAAAGAGGATCCACAGTGAGCGGACTTTAACGATGGTTCTGCACCAGATGGCTCGGTGTGACGCCCCCGGTGCTGTCGAGAATGTCCGTGCAACCCGACGCCACCTGCATTGTTTGCTCACTGTCTCACTGACTTTTTCCCTTTTCTCTCTGCAGAGGCTGAGGACCGAGGACTGGTCTCCAGTATTTTTCTTTTCTGAATTCTCAGACTGTATCATCAAGACCCAGGAGGGAGTACGTGCGGTTGCCACGGCTACCTTTTTTTTTCTTCTTTTTTTTTTCTTCACAAGGCTGTATGAAAAAATGTCCGCCAAGGTGGAGTGTTGTTGAGACTGGATACGGAAGAGGAAAAAAAAAAAAAGGCCAGGCATCTGATGGTCTACTATGAACCGAACTACTCCTTTCTTGTTCTTTTTTTCTTTTGTCTAGATTTAATCATATTTCCATAGAGCCGGAAAAGGACACTACAAGGACCCAACATGTATTTATTATCTGTAAAGGTTTATTATGATCCACCCTTCCACTCTCAAACTGCTGCTGTCATCACCGCGGCCCTTCCAGCTGGTGCGAGGTCCAGACCCTCGTCAGGCCAGAGGAAGCAGGTAGCTTCTTCAAAGGAATCTCTTCCCCCCCCCATACACACACACACACACTTGGACATGAGCTGTTTGGCCGCGGTTTAAAAAGTCTTACCCCCGAATCCTCTTGTGAACGACGTGGTGACGGTTCCAGCTCCCCTTCCGTCCTCGGAGGCTTTCGGCGATCTTATTGGGATCTGCGGACGTGTTTGTTCTGAACTCTACTCCTAACAGTCACGTTGCGTCCCCCTTCCATCTCATGTCTGCAAGCATCCCCCCCCTTCCTGAGAACTGTTTCTTTTCTTTTTTTGTTCTACATTACTTTAATTATTTAAAGCTTCACGTTTTAAGAAGAAAGAAAAAAAAAAAAAAGCACTTTATCTGTACCTTTTGTGGCCTGCTGTAAGCTCACTGTCTCAGACACTATTGGGAGATTACCGCCCTGATGGGCAGCAGGGGAGCGCAGAAGTCTTTGTGGTCGACTATCCATGGCCTTTGAGATACGAAAAGAAAAGAAAAAAAAAAAGACGTCTTCTTTTTCACATTTTATTTTATTGTGCGTTTTTGGGAACAGCAGACACGGATGGTTGTGTGTTGTCTGTTTTCCCCGCATTCGACTCGGGGTGCGTTTCTATCTCAGTTTATCTGCCACACACACACACACTACAAAAAAAATCCACGTTGATCATTTCCACTGGAGAAACATGTGTGAACAAATGTGCCCCCTATGCATCATCAGTTAAAGCTTTTGGGAGGCAGGTGGGAGGAACCAATGGAGGTAATACCTATATATATATGGGGTAACAGGATGAAGGAATACTGGAATACACTTTCGGGGCATCGGGGGCCAAAAGCCGCCTTACTAGCTGGACCCTTTGTTTATTTCATCCCTCCGGAAAAAGGCCCGACTACCTTTATGTGCCCTTTTTGTGTTGAAAGACACCCATGTTTGGATAGGGGGGCCCTCGAAGTCAAGGGGTCTTTGAAGAGGCTTTTGTCAAACGCCCGCTCTGTTTAAAAAAAAAATAAAGTTAAGACTCCCAGAAGATGGCCCTCAGCGGCCCCGCCCTTCTCTTGCCGGAGCCGTTGTTCCCAGTGGCCGCTGGGAACTCGCTCTTCGTTGTTCTATAAAGAGGGTTTTTTCCGGGGGTGGGTGGGGGGGGGGGGGGGGGGGGGGTTAGTTAACGCACTCTTACCATTTGGATAATCCGCGGTTTGACTGTTTGCTGTCGATCCCTGCTGGTGTCCAGGCAGCCTTACTTGCTCGACGAGGAGTGTGTGTGCGTGCGTGCGTGCGTGTGTGTGTACTTGAGAGGGAAAATGGCCGTCAAGATTTCTCCGCGTAAGCAATGTGGCTGTCTACTGTTGCCCATGTTGGTCAATGTTATTGCCTACCTTTTTTTGTTTTGTTTTTTTTCTACATGTGCTGTACATAAAATAAAATATAAAGCAATACCTGCGCTGTGTCATGTCTGTCATAGCGATGTCATCACGTTTGGAAACCGTTGGTGTCGGTTTGAAACAAGTGAGCCTGACATTTGCATCGTGGTGAATGTGGGACTTGTTGTTTGGGGATTTTGTCCCAGACGCTGCTCCAAAAGACTTTTGTGTGGCTTCAGATTTGAAAACTCACTCCCAATTCTCCCAACAGGAGTGAAATACAAAATTGATGCAGGGGTCCTTCTTTAATACAATAAAATAGATGTATTTAAAAGGCTATTGAGGATTTCTTTGCAAATGTTCAGGTTAACAAATGGGATCTCCGTGGGTGTCTCTACTGCTAAAAATAGTGCCGCTTCTTGTGCTCTTTGATGTAGGAACCATGTAAAAGGAATTCAAACCCTAGGAGATGCACAGTGAGACGTTGCATGTCGCCCTTTCTCTCCCTGCTCCTTTCCTATAAGGTCCGCCTGTCCTTTTAAAGGTTAAAACAATAAACATTCCCGAAAACACTAGAAATGGAGCTAAACTAGGGCATTTATTGGCACACAAAGAGATCCATTGTGTTGGATGTGGCGATTTGTAGCCTGCCCGATGCAAAGTGTGCATCTTGCATAAGGACTTTGTGCGTCTCGGTGCAACGGACGGTTACGGTGAGGTGACGCCAAAGGCTCAGCTGTGTGTCTCCCTCGCCTGCTCTCATCTCACACCACTGCCCAGACGTTTCATAACTCTGCTTCCAGTTTGACCGAAAACACATCTCCGATTCAGCCGAGAGAGAACAAACAAAGTGTGAAATTGCCAGTTTGGGTGCTACTAAAATAGCTACCAGTGTGAGGGGTTCAATACCAGGACAGCTGTCCCTGTCCGGCAGCTTCCTGTGTCATGGAGAAAAATTGATTTCTCGACCTCAAAGGTCTGAGGATTGTACTGACCTTATAATCTCGACGAAAAAAAATAGAACATCTGCATTCAAAATGTCTGACTTCCTGTTGGATTGACGGGTCTTTTTCTGTTACACTTGCCTACCAAACGTCACTGTACTGTACTCAACAGAAGCTTTCGGTCACAGAGTGTCTCCATGGCTGTGGAGTGGAATGGAATTGTGAATGAACCGAAACACCATTTCAAGACAGTCGACTGTCTTCAGGTTATCATGCGCCACACCGCATACGATAACTGTTGTCATATGAATCTGTTATTCATGGTTAAAGGTCAGTGTCCTGCTGCAAACAGAGCTCTGATTTATACTTCAGATAAACTCAAACAAACTCTGTTTATTACAGCTTTATTGGTTTTCCTACTGCTGGCAAGTCCTCGCTATCCCGGTCCGTGTTTGGCTGCGTGCGCCGGCAGGTGAGGCCCGGTGGGGGGATGGAGCGCAGCGGAGGGAGGTTTACCATTCTGGAGGGCAGCTTTTACTGAGGAGGAGCCAACGCAGCCTTCCACTGTGGTTTCCCTCCAGGCCTGGAAGGGAGAAAACGTCTGCTCACGTTTAATCACAAGCGACATGTTGGCATTCACATGCAAACGATATCTGCGATTCTAAGACCTTTTATTCATTAGCAATGTGGACATTCACCCATGTGAAAGCATACGAACACTTGAGCTTAATTTACTCATTTTATTTCCTCAGACTGTATCTTTCCTTAATGTTGCGCCCGTCTTTCTTCATTTGCTTGTGTTCTGTCTCTTAAATCGTCGAACTAGCATCAATGCTGTGCTATGGACCGTTATGAGTCGTATGTAACACCAGGATTGTTGGAGATGGAAGACTGAAGAGAACTCTCTGAAGCGCTCGACCCCCCCCCCCCTAGATGTTACGTAAGCCCAGCAGTCCGTACAGGTGGTGTGCGGTGGCGTGCTACAGCCGCCCACTCCTTTCCATCTGCACAGGCTGCAGAGATGAAACCGGCTTATTGTGTTTTGATTTGAAACTGAGTTTATGCTTCAACGTGTGCCGACCGGTTCTTCAACCTGCGCCCGCTGTTGATATAAAAACCTGCACCTTTTTACTTGCTTACACAACAAACACCCTCCGCCTCACGCTAATCCCTGTATTTCCTGCAGCTGAATGTGCCATCTATCCACATGTGGCTATTCCTTTTTTTTTTTTATCTGCATCCAGCCCTCTCTGAAGCCCTGTTCCCGGACTCGCTGCTGTATTTCCGAGCCCACGCTCGCGCACAAAAGCCTTGTAGTTGTCCATTCAGAGCATGTGGAGGGCTGCACTCTTCCTTCATGGATCAGTGCAGCGTAAATCTGGGACAGGGGGAAAAAAAAAAGAAAAGGGAGGCACATGGCAATGGGATGCCGTGTGCAATTACTGCTAATGATATGCCTCCATGCAAGCTGTGGCCGTAATTAACTGTGGAGGAAGCCTGGCCTGTCTGTGTGAGGGGATGCTCGCAGGAGGAGAGCCAGGGCTAAGAAAGTCAAACCTGCCTCGACATTGTTCAGACCACATGTCTGCTGTGTACCCCAGATTAGGCCCTTTGGGTGGTCCCGTGTTAGCGGTAACATGATGTGAATGGTAATGGGAATATTTTCCGGGACTTGAGATTACTCACGGAGGTGCGGCACAGCAGACCGAATGAGCCGCAGAGGAAGTGAGTGTACAAATAGTGAGACTAATACTCGTGTTAACACAGCGTTTCTTCATGCTTTGTCAAAATGATGAGGTAAAATTGTCTTTGGTTCATTTGGACTTCTCTGAGGACGGACTTTTATGAGCTCGAGCTAAAAAGATCATCTCACAAACACACTTCCATCTGAACACCGCAGAGGATGCCTTTGCTCGTGGTGTGTGGAAATGTGCTCCGCAAAGCTGTACAGTCATGAGGAAAATGATCCCCACCCAGCCTGGCGTGTTGTGGTTCATTTGGCGTCTTCCACCAGTCCCCGGAGACACTGTGCAAATGGCACGGTGGCTTCAAAAGCAGAACCCTTGGCACGCATCCAACAGCCCTGCACGCGGCAGTTATCTCCTCCTCTTGTCCTTGATGCCTCAGAGACATTTCTCACTCCTGTCATCGGTATGGACAGTTGAAGTTAGCCGGTCAGGCTTCTACTTTCTCTATTGATCCAAGTTAAACACGTGAACACATTTAGTGGCATCAATATCTGGTCGCAGCCTCGCTTAATCTTTGCATATATAATATCATAAGGTTAACAAACACCACCAATGATGATTCTAGCTCTGATCAAGCATATAATGTGAAATATTTTGTTTTATTTTTGCTAATCTCATCATTGCCACACATGGCCTCTTCCAAACTCCCGCCACGCAATTCCACGAGGAGACTACAAACATTTCTCCACAACCTGGGCGCGGTTAGCGCTTTAGACGTGACAGCCTACAGGTCAAGCCGCGGGGACCCGGGTAATTAGAGCTTGGGCCGCCGACAGGAAGCAGCCGTCGGCTTGTGATGGACTTAAACCTTTAAACGGCGCGTTTGTGTGTCCTGTCCCTCTCGCGGCCACGAGGGATCCCTCCAATATTAACACAAGTGGACAGATTGAGTAAACACCAGGGCCTTTGGTCTTTGTCGGGGCCGCTTTTTGTTTCACGTTGCTCCGAGCCGCTGGCGCACGTGAGCACGCATGTATCCTGAATCTTCCAGGATGTGGCTGTGGTGAGCAGCAGGCCCCCAGGCCTCCCCGAGCAGCTGTCAGCAGGCTCCGGAGGCTGAAAGAAAGGGAGGCGCCCTGCCCCCAACTCCACCAGCCCGCCTGCTCTCGCTGCAGGGACTAAAGGGGGGATGGGCTCTCACACACAGACACACACAGGAAAAAAGGGGAAATCATGAGCGATTCCTCAGCACCCTCTTGTTGAAATAGCTCCGCAAAGAATGCAGTCTTGATTGGAATCGTCGAGCTGATGCGTGTTTCGTTTGCCTCGGTCTCACCTGGCCTTTGTCTTTCCTGCTGATTAACACCTCATCCGTTGTCAGCTCGCCCGCATTGGCGAAGCATCACATGCTCAATGCTTTTTAAGCCACCTTGTGCGGCAACCTCGCCATAGGAGAGCAAGACCGTCTCTGAAAAGCAAAACGACAGGATAATAATAAGACCAGGCTGACTAATTATTGCGTAACAGCCCGCCGTGGAATCGACCAGAGGGGCTCATGCATGTTGCTGAGGAAATGCGGCATGGATGAGCAGAGTGGTTAAAGGGGTCCGCTGGATTTATAGAAAGCCGGCTGCGTCTTCAAATGTTCCAACGCAGGGTGGTCAGGCATGATTGACGTTTGACCTTGAATGTAAATAAGGCTGTAACAACTTTTAAGACGTCCATTGGAATCTTTTTCTGTTATGTAAAGTCTATATTTGCCACTGTAAGTCGTCCTTGGTGAGAAGCAGATGTGAAAGGAGAAGGTGGAAAAAGATGCCTTGGAGGTGCTATTTAAGGGGGAACAAAACATACTGAAATATATACAGACTTGAATATACTGTAGGACAGATTAAATGAATCTGTGAAATGCACATCTGCAAATATATACGTCTGACATATATGATTTATTGAATGATGATCAGGAGGAAGTCAAAGTCGATACTGACGCCGTTTTTTGATTACCTGTTCTCCACATTTTGCCCCCCCCCCTCCTTGCTTATAAGCTGTCTACATTTTGTTTTCGGGGCGTCACCAACTTGTATTTTGTCCCTTCGCCATCCGGGCTGTTTGCAACCAGAAGGGACACAAGAGTGTGGAGCCGAGAACATGAACACCATCAAAAAAAATTAAAGCCCTCAAAGAATTCTAGTGGGGTGAAACAGACATTGTTCCTTTTTCTGAACTGGAAAGCATAAAATTGTCTGAAAAAAAACAAATACTGAAGTAAAGTACCTAAAAGTACCATTGCACCAACTTCTTTTTGTGACATTGCTGTTGTGTGTCCGTATCCTGGGGGGGTCTCACACTCTCTTGTTTATTGTCTAAGCTCCTCCTACACACACTGTAAACAACGCAGGCTGCAATCTAAAGTCTGAGCCAATGTGCTCCCTGTACGATGATTAACTTCATAGAACTATTGCTGGTGTTCTGCCAGCGTGACTATTTCTTGCCATTTGTCCGCTGACTTTTCAAGCCATCGTCTACTAAAACACACACACAGCACATTAGAGTGCTTCCTTAGAACAGGAAATTCCAGGAGCTACTAAATTTACCACCTCTATGTTTGCTTAAGCTCCCATGTTGCCAAGAGCCAGAATAGTCACACAAAAGAAAGAGAAATAAAGAAACTCATATCACCGCTGATAAAAACCCGAGTATCACATATTTCACCCAGTGACGGTTCTATAAACCAGGTGAGGCTGTGCAAATAAGTTGTGATGTTCCCAATAAAACATGAACACGTTGTAGTTCAGGGTTTTCTTGTGGTACAACACCGTGTGTATTGTTCCAGCAAGAATTATACAGATTACAACAATATTTTGCAGAGACATTCATGATCCCTGGAGGATGATTGGTGCTGATGGACTCCAAATTTGGGGTTTTGAGTAAAATGCAACTAAATGTACAATGGTCTGGATACACCTTTACAATGAATGTGTCCAAACGTTTCACCGGTACTGTAGTACATTCAACATGTTTCAAAATACTTTTGGTTCGTGACAAAATACCTCCTCAACTAATCACCATCAGTTTCAGACATGCTAAACTAAAATGGTAAATGCGGTAAACATGATACCTGAACAGCATCATAACGTTAGCATGCAGACATCATCATAGCCGCTAAACATCTGTACGTTGGCATTGTCGATAGGAGCATGCTAGCTTGCAGATGTTAGCTTGAGCTGAAAGCATTGTCGTGTACGGCAGACTCGCCCTGGGAATCCACAGGCAACAGGCAAAGCGCTTCTGAAGCGCTCCGTCAGTTCAATCCAGGCCGAGTCCTGCTACCCGTCTGCCGACTGACGGCACAGACGTACAAACAAAAACAGTTTTCATTTAGGCTTCACATGAAGAAACCACCGTGTTTTCTGTTAATATATTAGGCAGATTTATTTGATTTACAAATAAATCTATTTATTATTTGATTTACAAATTTGATTTACAAATAAATCTGGATGGGATGGGATAACTACATCCCATCCCAGGTCCACATTTAATTATGTTGTCACATCTTGATAGGGATGACATTGAATCCCCACCCCCCAAAAACACCCTTGAAGTACGTGTGTCAACGGAAGGATTCTCCAGAGAGTCACGTCTGCCTTGTAACATATTAACCAGTTGGAGGTTCATGTGTACATTAGGTGGGACGGGGGGGGGAGGGGGGGTGGTTGGCAAGCGCTTGGATAAGACTGTTATTAATGTCTCAATATGTAACCTTTCGCACCATCTGTCATATCTCATCACGCATTCCTCACATGTTGTGGTATTTACTGCAACGCTTATCTGCCGTATCGCTTTCTGTTTGGCTTTTTCAAAGTTATCCTCTGGTCCATGTGTTCCCTCCAGGCCGTCTTTATCTGCCTGTAATTTTGAATTGGAGCTTGTTGCCAACATCAGACGCATCTGGTGCAACAGAAGAGGACATTCCAAGATCATCGACTCACCCAGTGAGTCAAAAATGTACTCGCACGCACACAAACACACACACGGACATGGTGTTCTCCGCTGTCATTTTACGCTCCGATTTGGGACCGGAAATCTGAGTTATGGATTTCATAATCTAATATATGCGCATCTGTAATGTGACAATGGAGACAATGTCTGTAAAACAGACGGTCACGTGTGTGAGTGTGTGTTCAGACCTGATGATAGAATGTGTTGATCTGAGGCTCTGCGATGCGACAATGTGATCCTTAACATTGGAGCAAATATGCAAAACTGCAGTGCGTACCTTTGTACACACTCGCGTTGACTGTGTGTGTGTGCGTGTGTGTGTGTTCAACCCGGCCCTGCAGCAGCTATTCTGATTCCATCTGTGAACCCGGCCTCCTCACAGCTTGAACCAGCACCAGCTCCTTTGTCTCACTAATCCAGCACTATTAGCATCGCAGCACCACAACAGGCGCCTACTGGAGCCCCGGATGGCTCCCAAAACTCTCTCCTCTGAACAGACTGCAATCTAATTAACGCGGGGGGATCGAGGGGGGCGGCTGGGGGGGTTTGGGGGGGCTATGTTTGTGTGTGTGGTTAACAGGATCCAGTGGATTAGCACCTGGTGATAATGGGCTGAGGCTGGGCTGCTACAGATGCCAAAACAAAGATGGCCGCAGACAGGATCACCGTGTTACGTTGGTGGCGAGGGTTTGTGTGAACAACCCGATGAAGCTCTTTGTTTCTCCCGCCGGGTGCCGGGTCGATACAGATGTGTCCAGGACAACGCGGAAGAATTTGTTGTACTATACTATTACTATAACAAGCTCGGTCTTGGTTCTGACCCTTCAGTGCTTCCCTTCCATGTACAACAGCAAACTGTGTCACCCTTTTTCAACCTTGAGATCCACACAGTTACCTTTTGCAACAAAAGCTCTTGACATAAACAATTCACAGAAGAGTACTTTGCGTTTTAGTGTAGAGGCCTTTACGATCTGTACCCTGCAGTGCAGCTGTCTGCACATAAGAAGAGATCCTCTTACGCTGCCACCCCTTTAATTTGTCCGAGTCATGGCCGGTGCGGACAGAAGGAATCATTACAGTGACCAAAAAACTGCTTCAACGGACATAAGATCATGTGCGGGTTGCATTGAGATGAACCTGAAAAAGAATGTGGACCCACCCTTTAATTCCAGGGATCGTAGTTGTACCACTGTTTTTCCAAAGGACTTTACTGAGGTTTGAAATAAAGATCAAGTGATCCACTTTCTAAATAAACTTTCCTCCAAATTTGCTGTTACGAATGCCGGTGAATCCGATCCCTGACTCTGCACTCAGTAGACGCGCTCTCAAGCATCGCGGCGCGTTTATCTTAACGTTGATCGGGGCAGCTTTCCATCGTGCTCACACAAACCGTCCGTGAGGATAAAAACCGTAACACGCTGTACAAGCACAAGAGAATTCACCCTACAGTCCTTGTGGGGCTCTTCCCGAACGCTTTTAGCTCCGCTCCTCGGGAGAAAAGAAAACCGATCTGTACTCGGGTTTGCGGTTGAGCCGAGGAGCTTACTTGCTTACTGGAAGTCAGAGCAGCTGAGTGTGCACAGCCTCCACCTCCGAAGCCTGGGAACCGTTGATTCTTCAATATTTCGCCGCAAGTGAGCACGTGTGGAAGGTCGGCGTTGGCAAGCTCACAGCCGCCGTGCACGTGTGGAGCAAACGTGCGCCTCTCGACATGTGCTTCACGCCTGCCCTCCACCTCATGTTTTGACATGGTCCACCCTCCCACGCGGCCCCGTAAGAAGAGCAAGCGGCATAGAAGATGACTGACCGGCCTTGTATGGCGGCTCAGCATCGGCCGGGGCTCCTGAAGAGAATAACGACCACAGCTCACTGACATCTCCACGTTAAAAAGAACCGCGCGCTCTGATTAACGTCACATCGGTGATAAATGCGCACAGCAAATGACAAGGCTTCTCCTCTCAGCCACTTTCCTCCTCTCTCTCCCTACGATCGCGTCGTGGTCGGTGAGTCAGTGTTTTTCTGGCCCGTGTTTCCGGTGAGAGGAAATGCCGATCTGTGCGTCCCGTGGCCGCGCCGCCATTATCTCTGTCTGTCCATGCGAAACGCTCAGGCATGTTAAAGAGGTTTAAGTGTCACTGCCACATGTGTGAAACATCCACACAGACCCGGGCAATGGAAAGCAAAGGGTACTGTTGGGATGACAGGCGCAGTTTCTTCACTGTAATTGCTGCTCTGTGCCTCGGGGCATCAGATCAAGTTCTTTTGGGGGGGTTTCAGTTCCCTCTAGTGCATTCAAGGAATGTTATCAGTCACTCTGGTTGAAGGTCAGATGATGGTATTACAGCGCTGAAAAAGAAATAAATACACTTGAGCATTAAATCCCTTTCTGGGTCTTTGCTTTTTAGGCATTACGGCCTTCAAGCACGCAGGAAAACTAAAATGGGTTCTAAGGTGAGCGAGCTGTGCTTGAAATGGCTGTTAGTGATTCTCCTTGACTGATATCGAAACAGACAAAATGTGTACAAACCGGGAATGCTGAATTTGTTTTTCCAATTTCGACATTGGTCTTTAACGACTGTCCAAGTCTCGCCAGTTAAGACGTTTTCGCCGGCGTCTTTGTAAACGAAGTTTGGGTCCTTGCAGTTTACTCGGTTGCTTTGGGCACACCACTCCCCAAATGTTTATCTCTTAACGTCACCACTGCAGTTCATGTTTGTCCCAAACAAAGCACTGGTTAGATCTTTAGACTTTAATCACCGCAACAAATTCTGCCTTAACTGGAAGCTGAAAGTTGTTTGTAGCTTTGAAAAAGCCTCCTTCAAGATGTATGAATATGAACATTTCCTCTCCAAAACTAAAAACTGTATATTATATTTAAATTGACCTATAAACTTTTTCAAAAGAGCCGTCCCTAAAAAACGGTCAGTACATCTATTAAACATATTCAGTCATACTATGTGCAGTAGCTGTTTGTATAGACCAGCAGAATGACATCAATAATAATAAAATATCACACAAGACAGTATGATATAATCTTTTGCAGTGTCAATATAATTAGCGCACAATCTCTCCTCTTGACACAGAATCTTATGGGTCACAGAACTTGGCGCTGCCTACAGGGAGCCGACCCACTTTCTTTCTCGCTCTGGCTAGTTTTATGTTTTACTACTGAATGAGTAACCTGAAGAAGCAGTCCAATGCTTGACGTTTGATATTTAAAGTCTCTTTGATAACTTAAATGCTGGCAAAATTGTAGTTTTGTCTTGTTTGTTGTATATCCATCGTAGACCCACTTTTAACTATGGACAGAAATAAAAACACGCTGTCTAGGGTGGGCGGATAAGAACAGGTCCGTTTGCAGCGTTTCTTTTCTCTCCGGGATTGGAGGAGGACGGTGACAGCCGGCAGAGAATCGACACATTTGTCACCAACAATTCCCCCGGGGGCCGTGGCGGTCTCACTGCCACCACACTCTCTGACAGGTTTTTCCACTCACCTCATCGACAGCTCCCAGCTCAGAGATGAGGAACACACACACACACACACACACACACACATAAAAGGGTTCTCAGCGGGGAAGAAATCAATGGCTCTCTGAGAGGAACAAACTGCCCTGAATCTCTGCTAACGCCATTCAGCAAGACTGTTGCATGCTTCATGTGTTAAAAGGAATCTGCCTGAACGACTGTAGCTGTGATTCACTCTTAATCAGAGCCGCAACTAAGTGTCACCTAATTAACAATTCAATCTGCCACAATCTGTGTTTAGTTTGATATCAGACGGGAAATAATTGTCGACTTCTCTCCCCGGCTGAGGTTGGACGAGAACATCTCAACGTGATGCCCGTCGGCGCTGCTCTCACAATACACACATAAAATGTTAACTGAAGGAACGTTCAATCGCACACCAACACAAACCAACCAAAGGCATTGGAGACTACAAGCTTGATCCGGGGTCTGAATTACAATGGTTTAACCTTTTGGACAAAATGAGTGCCAGACGAACTTGATGCCAGCTCGGTGAGTCATGCAGAGTGAATGACCTCTGTGCTGCTGCTGGTTTCGCTCCAGTGAATTTTGTTTCAAAGGAACTCACATAAAACCGCTCTATCTAAAAGTGTCTGTGGCCTATATTAATAATAATATTTTCTAAGTATTGTTAGCCATATAGACACATAGTCCCAACATGGTGGTTTGCACTGCGACCTCTCATTTGTTTCGGTGTTGGCCGTCCTCCACCTCTTTATCTTTGTATTTTACACAACAGCACGTTTTTGGTGACATGCTGATGTGTATTTGTGAATGTTTAACGCCTCTGGCAGTCTCATGGGCGTGTGGTAAAGGGTGACACGGCCGTGAGTCAGCAGGACGGTGGGAAGGACTGTCATTGCCGTCATTGGATTAACTTCCCCCACAGATTAGCATCTGAACCTGTGACTCACCCGACAGATGAGGCTTGGATGTTTTGTGCGATGTCCAGGAGAGTATCCAGCTTTAAAAATATTTAAATTATCCTTAATACAGGGGTATAATAAGATGGAGAAAAGATAAATGGCTCATTCCTGTATTCTCTTGGTGTAAAGCACAGATACGTTTGGTTATGGAAACATTTAGGCAGTTCAATATCCCAATAAGGACCTTAAATGCACAGCTCAGCAAGTAACTCTCGTTGCAATTCCTTGTTTATTCCGTACTATATTAGTTTTTTCTGCATATCACAGTGCAATAGAGCAGTGAAGCACAGTACAGTCTTGGGTAATTTGGGTAATTTTCTAAAGTCTGTGTCAGCAGAGAATCCCACACAGCATTTACAGCCAGGGGTGAAGACTTTATTCTCTAATAAAAAAAGGATCAATGCCGACCTCCTTAAATTTAGAGATTCTGCCATTTCACAACAGAAATGTGGGTTATTAAAAGCCAATCGCAATACTTTAAGAGTGAGGCAACTTCTTCATCCCATTCAGTGTGTTTTTACAGTCTGAACTGCCCTGCTGTCTTTGTCACATTGCTGATGTTGGACAATAAAAAGGAATATGTTCAGTTCGGGATTGAAGCCAAGACCAATGATGCCCAACCTTGAATATATATGACCCCCTCTACAGGAATGGTACTGACGTGTCTATGGGCTTGTTTATGACTCATCCTTTAGTACAAATGCACTGCTTTCTTGGAAGATCACACACTTCTTTATGTCTTTATTTCATATCACTGCACAAGGATTCTGTTTATTAAGCTTATCCATTACAAGGATGAATGGGCCTCTCTATAGCTTCAGTATTTAGCTGCGCAACTGTTTGAGATGGACATGACGAATAAAGTCTACTCCATTGGCTTTTAGTGGTGAAGGTTTTTATCCTTTGTCTCACAAGAAAAAGAGAAAATAAATGACGTTTTAGAGAAACATGTTATGTCTTCCTCCTTTTTGAATTAGTTTTTGGAAACATTGTACTCATGTGGCGAGCAGGAAATTACCCTCTTGGTTTGAAACCGTATGATATATGTTCCACTAAAGGCCGTTGCGTTGGTCGGCTGGTCACTCCTTTCACCGCTTTTGTCCAGGTTTAAATTGCGGATCCGTCGGCATCATACTACTCAAACATGTGCTCGCGTCGCCATCTTTAGCTAGCTACGGTTAGCACCTAGCTTAAGGCACAGTCACACGACTGCTAGCATTGTTGATGCTATGATATGCTTTTATCATCAACGGTTCTGTGGGGAGAGTTTACCTTACGGCAAAGAAGAACATGAGCAACCTCTTTTGTCTTCCTGCACACCTCCATGAGTGCGTCTTGTCACATGTTTGCTGCTGAGGTCTCCTTCCGCTTCCTTCCTCCTTTTTTCCCTCCTGTGTCCAAATGTCACCTGCCAGTCAAACTTAAGTGTCTGCAGTGTGACATCTTGTTTCCTGGATTTTGGGATAAAAGCATTGAACTTTAGCAGGATTCTCTTTCTGCTCCGCCTAATCCTTTTTCTAAAACTTTTTTTTGTGTTAATCCCCCCCCCAAAAAAACTGTTTTATACAAATGTTTAAATGGCCGCACCGGATTCCTCCCTAACACACTTCTCCTTCCTCTGGCAGGTTGGGAGGGACAGCAGGTTGTGCTGAGAGGTAATGATGTGGAAAGCAGTGTTTGGAGGAAGGGGTGAGGGCGAGAAGAAGGGTGGAGGAGTGGGTGGAGGGGGGCAGTGACAGCTGTCACACTGAAACAAACGCCTCCCTCTGTGAACGGACACTCGGAGATGAGGGCTAGGGGGTGGGGGCGTTCGGGGCTGGGGGGCCTCCCTTAACACACAGCTGCCACAGGCCTGTCACTCAGGACGTTATCGTGCCCCCCTCATCTGGACTGGATAATAGGGCTTCTGGTCAGTGTGGGCATGAGCCATATTTCTGAATGGTTTGGCCTTCAGAAGCTGGTGAAGTGAGACTGATTCCAATTAATTGAGATTTGGGAGTTTTTTGATGCTAATACAGAATGATTTCCAATACTCAATCATTCAATGGTGCATCTTGTCTGGACTGTAAGACCACCCTGTCACACAATCCTAGAGCGGGTAAAGTGCCCAAACTATACAAACTGGCCCTGTAGCATTCAATGTAATGGGTGTCTTCAACCTAACAGGCCTTTGTTGTCCATGAACAAATGCAGAAGACCAACACTGCCATCAAGTGGTGTCTCACGGCTAACTCTTCGTCTGCTTAACACTTCATTTGACAGTGTAAGTGTTATCATTAAAACTAAAAGCCTGTGCGTGTTGTTAGCTGAACACTGATAGACCGCACTTGGCTATTAATCACCT